CGGCGGCCATGCCGCCCTCAGCTCAAGCAAGCCTTTGCACGGGAGGCTTCTGGACGCCTCCGGGCGACGTTCGGGACCTCTCCGGAGACCCTCCCGGGCAGTCTGCGGGGCCTCCTGGAGCCCTCCTGGGCTCTTCTGGGGCCCCTCCTTGGGGCCTTCTGGGGCCGTCCGGGGCACCTCTGCAGCCTTCTTCGAGGCATGCTCCGCCGAAAAACCGAGGAAGCCCAAACATGATCGACCCACGAACCCAGAAAGGAATACAGAAACGTAAGGCATGGCAGCGTTTCAAAGACACCTGATTGGGCGACGAGCAAATACAATGCTGAATGTATCGATCATGATGTGCTGTGCTGAGGGCTGTGCTGTGCTACGCCGTGCTGAACTGCGATGTGCCATCCGCGATTGTGTTCTATATAGCGTTGTGGATCGAGTCCTCTTTGCATCCGAGTTCTGACCGAACTGATCTGGATCTTAAGCTCGAGCTGCCTGAGCATATGGTAGCTGCCCCAGAACTAATCGACAGAGGGGACATGCCAGGAGGACGCGCCGCGGAACGTCTCAGGGGACGCGCCAGGCGACGTGCCAGGGGACGTGCCATGGGCACGCACCGCGGGACGTGCCAAAGGGACGCGCTACGGTACGTGCCAATGGACGCGCCGCGGGACGTGCCAGGGGACGCGCCGCGCGACGTGCCAGCTGGACTCGCAACGGAATGTGCCAAGGAACGTGCCAAGGTGCACTTTGAGTATCGATCTTGATGTACCATGCCGACGGCTGTGCTGTGCTGGGCCGTGCTGAACTGCGATGTGCCAATCCGCGATTGTGCTCTATATAGCGTTGTGGATCGAGTCCTCTTTGCATCCGAGTTCTGACCGAACTGATCTGGATCTTAAGCTCGAGCTGCCTGAGCATATGGTAGCTGCTCCAGAACTAATCGACAGGGGGACATGCCAGGAGGACGCGCCGCGGAGCGTCTCAGGGGACGCGCCAGGCGACTTGCCAGGGGACGTGCCATGGGCACGCACCGCGGGACGTGCCAAAGGGACGCGCTATGGAACGTGCCAATGGACGTGCACCGCGCGACGTGCCAGGGGGACTCGCCACGGGACGCTCCGCGGGACGTGCCAGGCAACATGCCAGGCTGCAATGCTAAGGGTATCGACATTGATGTACCGTGCCTAAGGCTGTGCTGTGCCTAGGCGACCTGGACACGTGAAAACACGCGTGTCGCTCAAGAAGTTCTCAGCACATCCTCATGCCAGACATCCGCCTGGGCAACCTGGACACGTGCAAACAAGCGTCTCGATCGAGACTTCCTCGACGCATCCTCATGCTAGATATCCGCCTGGGCGACGAGGACGCGTGAAACCAAGCGTCTCGCTCGAGACATCCTCAACAAATCCTGGCGCTAGACCTCTGTCTGGGCAACCTGGAGGCGTGAGACCAAGCGTCTCGCTCGAGACATTCTCAAGACCTGGGCACGTGAAAACAAGCATTTCACTTGAAGGTCCCCAGGAGAGGACACTCTATAAGACAAAACAAGCGTTTCGCTCGAGACATCCTCAACCAATTCTGAAACACAAGCGTTTCGCTCGAGACATCCTCTCACACATTAATTCGCCGGCCCTACGCGCCGGCCCTACAGCCGTCAGATCCGGCGGCAAACCCATAAAAGAGAACCCTGGGCCCTTTCCGGGAACATGCAAAAATCAAAAGGATTTGGATGATGTTCGCCGTTTCGGCTTCCTTGTTGCGCCTCTTGGAACTCTCTTGCAGCATCTTGCGCCGCTCTTGGGGCCTCTCTGGCCACGTTGGGATCTCTGCAATGCCCCATGGGTCGTCCTGGAGGTCTCCTGGACCCATCTTCGGCTGTCTGGCTGGTCCTTTGCCTCTTCGCTGCGCCCGCAGAACCCCTGGAGAGCCTTCTGAGGCCCGCAAAACTCCTCGCTGTGCTCCTTTCTGCCTCTCTGTATCCCTCTTCGGTTCGCTCAGCCTTTTTCGACACCTTCGGGTGCCCTTTTGGGCTGTCTTCCGAGCCTCTTCGGGCCTTGCAGTCGCCTTTTTGGACTCTTGTCCGCATCTTTTTCGACCCTCAGGGGCCCTCTCCGAACCCCCTCTCGCCCTCTGGTGCGCAAGTTCAATGGGATTTCCGGATACCCTCTGGGGCCGTCTTCGATCCCCGCATCCTCCTCCTCCTCCTCCTCCTCCTCTTCCTCGTCGTCGTCGTCGTCGTCGTCGTCGTCGTCGTTGTCATCACCATCACCATCACCATAATCATCATCAACAACAACAACATCATCATCATCATCATCATCATCATCATCGTCGTCGTCGTCGTCGTCGTCGTCGTCGTCGTCCTCGTCCTCGTCTTCGTGATCGTCATCATCATCATCATCATCATCATCATCATCATCATCACCACCACCATCATCATCATCATCACCATCACCATCACCATCATCACCATCACCATCATCATCACCAGCATCAGCATCAGCATCATCCGCAGCTTCGTCCACTTCATCATCATCAGCATCATCATAATCATCACCGCCATCATCATCACCATCATCACCATCATACTCATAATCACCACCATCATCACCATCACCAGCATTATCACCACCATCATCAACACCATCATCATTATTACTATTATTATTATTATTATTATTATTATGATTCTTATTCGTATTCTTACTATTCGTGTTATTACTACTATTACAACTACTACTACTCTTCTTCTTCTTCTTATTATTATTATTATTCTTATTATTATGATTACTACTACTATTATGATTGTTATTATTATTATCATTATCATCATCATCATCATCTGCATCATCCCCCTCACCTTCCCCCTTCTTGTCCTACTCCACCCCCTCCGCCTTCGCACATGCATGGTCATCGTCTCTGGAGCCTCTTGCCTACCTCTTGCGCCGCCTTCCGAGCCTTTCTTGACCCTCTGCGGTCACCATGACTCCCCCCTCACAAAGAAGCTCCGGGCTCGGGAACATTAGTGAGGCGGCGGTGTCTGCTCCCTCAGGGGCGTTCAATTAATAATGCGGGGGGGTCTCAACGAGGCGGCGCTCCTGGGGCGCTTCGCGCCCCAGTGTTGAGGTGTTGAGACCGCACCGGGCTGCTCGGTGGGGCGCCTGTTGAGGCTAGCTGGGGCTACCTGGGGTGGGGGGTCTGTAAGCAAGCCCCCGAGCGTTGCGATGACCACAAATGGTGGTGAGTCAACAAGGATTCGGGGCGAACTCACGGCTTTGGGCCATGGGTCATTGTCCGAGGATGCCTCGGGCGTCTGGGGCCTACAAGGTCCGTGCGGTGACTGTACGTGCGGTGTGTTACCATCGGAGTTCGAGGCCGCTGCACGGTCTGCCACCACGTCCGCCGATATGTTTCCCAACCATCCTGTGGTGTTGGGTCCTCGTTTTGAAGAGACAGCGCCACGCGTCTCTTCCTCCTTCTACCTCTCCTCTCCTCTCCTCCTTCCCCCTCCCTCCTCCCGTCCCTGCTCTGCCCTCCGCACCCAGTACGGCGTTTCGTGGCCCCAGAAGGAGCTCCACCTAAGGCCCCAGTGGCTGTACCCGCATGCGTCCTGCGCCACCCAGTACAGTCAATGTTTCGTGGTCCCATAGGGAGTTCCACCAAATGCCCCAGTTGCTGTGCCCACATGCGTCCCGCATCACCCAGTAAGGCGCTTCGTGGCCCCATAGAGAGTTCCACCGAAAACCCCAGTGGCTGTGCCCACATGCATCCAATGCCCCAATGGCTGTGCCCACATGCGTCCCGCGCCACCCAGTGCAGCGCTTCGTGGCCCATAAGGAGCTTCACCGAAGGCCCCAGTGGCTGTGCCCACGTGCGCCCCGAGCCACCCAGTACGGTGTTTCGTGGCCCATAGGGAGCTCCACCGAAGGCGCCAGTGACTGTGCCCAGATGCGCCCCGCGCCACCCACTACGGCGCTTTGTGGCCCAATAGGGAGCTCCACTGAAGGCTTCAGTGGCTGTGACCACATGCGTCCCGCGCCACGCAGTATTGCGTTTCGTGGCCCTATAGCCAGCTCCACCAAGGCCCCAGTGGCTGCGCCCACATGCGTCCCACGCCACCCAATACGGCGTTTCGTGGCCCCATAAAGTGGGCCCCACCGAAAGCACCATGTGCCCACATGCGTCCCGCGCCACCCAGTGCAGCGCTTCGTGGCCCCATAAGGAGCTCCACCGAAAGCCCCAGTGGCTGTGCCCACGTGCGTCCCGCGCAACCCAGTACGTCGTTTCGTGGCCCCATAGGGAGGTCCACCGAAGGCCCCAGTGGCTGTGCCCACGTGCGCCCCGCGCCACCCACTACGACGTTTCGAGGCCCCATAAGGGGGCGAAAGCTCCAGTGGCTGTGCCACCCAATACAATGTTTCGTTGTCCCATAGGTCCCGAAGGGAGCTCCAATGAAGGTGCAAGTGAATGTGCCCAGATGCGCCTCGCGCAACCCACTACGGCGCTTCGTGGCCCCATAGGGAGCTCCACCGAAGGCCCTGCATCCGCGCCACCCAGTACGGCGGTTCGTGGCCCCACAGGGAACTCCACCGAATGCCCCAATGGCTGTTCTCACATGCGTCTCCCCCCGCCCATTTCGGCACACCGCTCACGCGTTCCGTGGCCCCATAGGGAGCTCCACCGAAGGCCCCAATTGCGACGCTCGCGTGCGCCCCCCCCCATTCCGGCATACCCCCCACGCGTTTCGTGGCCCCATAGGGGGCTCCACCGAAGGTCCCAGGGGCAGGGTTCGCATGGCGGCCCCGCTCCGTTTCGGCACACCCCTCAAACGTTCCGTGGCCCTATATAGATCGCCACCGACGGCTCCTCCAATGGCAGCGCCCGCAGCGTCCCCGCCCTATTTCGGCACGCCTTTTACACGCTTCGTGGCCCCATGAGAAGATCCACCGATAGCGATACCCACAACGGCGATACTCGCAACCGCATTTGGTTGGGCCCTTCGCCAGGATTTTTTTGTTCAAAACGCGGTCCCGTACCTCAACCTATCCCCCAAGGGCATCTGGCGTGTATTTTGTTGTCACGAGAATGCAACATTGCAAAGCATGTTGTAATGTAGCAGTGCGATCTATCTTCATCCGTGTGCGTCCTTGGCTCCAAGAGAGGCAGATCCCTCTACTGAAGCACGCGCAACCGGGCTAGGTGCACCAGCACACAAAAGAACTTGATGTCATACAGTTGAGTCCTGGGGGAGGGAGGGCCGAGGGGAGGACGCGAGCCACCGAAGAGCGTTGCAGCAACGCGCCACTCGTTTCACCCGGTGCAGTGTGCGACTATACTGGCGGAGAGCGCACACACCGAAGTGAGACGTGCGGAGGAACTTCCTGCAATGGCAGGCTCCTGCGTCCGTCCCGCCGATGCCTCAGCACGACCGCGGCTACAATGTAAGCTCGCGCATGCGTGCTCCATACTGGTCCATGCTGGCGCGACTCGCACTGGTGCCCATCAAACGGGTTGGACGTACGGTCAGACCCAGGCCAGAATAACATCCATCAATAACAAGAAACCCTTCGTCGGCACCAATCCACCCTCCCCGAACCGACCACGGTCTTATACCTCGGTCCGACTGTACTCTGTCGTGGACGACAGGATCTTGAAAAGCGAGCTCTGTCTCCGTGGCCTCACAATTTGGGGGGCGGCCAAGAGGGGGGCGTCCAAGAGGGGTGGCGCAAATCATGGCCGGCGGCATGTGCGCGGCCCAGGAGACGTAATGAAATAAGAAGAGGCGCCACGACATCTGAGGAAATATCATGGCGCACGCCATGATATCCCCCCCTAGTCATCACCCCCCTCTTGGCCGTCCCCGACAATCGATTTGTAACTGCTGGGGGGGCACGTGCCGCCGCCACGTCCGAGGCCGCGGGGAGCGGCCGCGAACGTCTTGGCCACGAAAAAAATTGCCCCGCTGCTGCCGGGGGGCAGGACGGCCCTTCCAGCGCGTTCGCAAGACACCGGACCATCCAATTGGCAATGCCGTGGCCCAAGCTACCCGTGTGCATTTCCGCGTCCCGCTGGCCTCCTACGGAAGCGTTGAAGTTCTGCAAGAAGCACCGTGGAGGTCCATCCCAGGGTGTGACAATCGAGAGCGATCAGGCTGCCCGGTTCAGGCTGGACAGCGTCACCCACGACGCCGGCACCTGGAGCCCGAGCAGGCCAGCTCCCTCTGCAGACACCGCGGAAGATCGGGCTGGGCGAAAGGGGGGGATAGCAAAGGGGGGGGTTGAGAATCAGCTCAAGTAGCTGATTTTCCCGGCGCCTCCCGGCGCCAGGAGGCGGCCATGTATCGCCGAAACCAGCTGCATGGAGCAGATTTCGTACCCCCCCCTTTCCCAACCCCCCCCTTTCGCCCGACCCGAGAAGACCGCGACCACCGCGCCGCGAAGCCCGTGTCCAGCTCGAGGCCCTTAAGGCACTGTGCCTCTCCCCGCCGCAGGCAGAGCGTCGCATCTCCGGGCCCACCCTGCTCAGGAGAGAAAGAAACACACAGACACAATTCATCGTCGACTCCCAGGAAAATATGGGAAAATATGGGAAATGGGGGGTAGACAAAAACCCAGAAAACATGTGAAAATATGGGGGATCCTGTTATTTGTGTGTGTGTACTTATTTGTGTGTCCCAGGGCCCCTTCACCTGCGCCGCGCCGCGGGGGCGCCCCAGGCGCGTGGCGCAGGCGCGGCGCGAGACCAGGGGCGCGACCTGCGCCGTGAGGCGGTGCCAGCTGAAGGTGGCGCCCGCTGGCCACAGGCACACGATGTCCGCGGCGCCCGCGGCCGCCGGGGCCGCCGCCCGCCAGCCCGGCGGCAGGTCGGCGACGCGCTCGGGGGCCACCAGGACAGGGTCCAGAGAGGACGCTGGCCAGTCCTGCTCGGCGAGCGCCGCCGCGAGCTCCCGCGCGGCGGCCGGCTGCCCCCCGCTCGGCCAGGCGACGACCCGCACCCGCGGGAACTCCTGGAGCGCCGCGGGCGGGGCCTCGGGCCGCCGGTAGCGCTCGGCGGCGAAGTCGAAGACCCGGTCGGGCACGCGGATGCCCCCGGGGCGGTAGATCTCGGGCTCGGTGGCGAGGAGCCACGCCTCGGGCCATCGCTCGGACCTCCATTCCCCGTGTTTTTGGTCGGTTTCGTGCGTGGTTTCTTCGCCGAATGGTCGAGGAGGCTCCTCGAAGGTCCTCGCCGAGAAAGAAAATGCACACGTCCGAGGGATGCCAGGACGCCTCCGGGTCGCGCGGCGCCCAGAGCTCCGCGCCGCCGGCGCGGGCGCGCCGCAGGGGCAGCAGCACCTCCGCCGGGGCGCTCTCCAGGAAGCCAGCAGGCGAGTCGAGCCGACCGCCGTCGGCGGAGGGGGCCCAGAGGTAGACGTCGAGTCGGGCCGCGGGCGATGCCAGCAGGGCGACCTCGAGGTGTGGCTGCCCGGGGCGCTCGCGCCAGTCCACCACCAGGAGGGGCGGGGCGTCGAGGGCGGCCACGGCGCGGTCTGCGTCCTCCTCCATGATGCTGACGTCTGCGTCCGTGTCGTAGCGCAGGACCGGCACGCCGTGCCGCCAGACAGCGAGCAGCGTGCCCTGGTCCGCCCAAAAGCAGACAGACGCGCCCTCGAGCCTCGCCGCGACCACCGCGATCAGCTCCTCCAGCCTGAGCGTGAAGCTCCGCTGGACGCTGTCCTCGAATGGCCCTAGGCTGCTCTCGATGATGGGAGCAGTCAAGTGTCCAGACTTGGAGCAGTAATGACGGCGCGTGCAGGCAGCCTCATCGGACGCGGCAGATGCGGAGTGACGTTGGCCAGCGGGACACGAGGGAGACGCCCCGCGAACGCACGCCGCTAACACGGCCACGCACTCCACCAGCCGCTGGCGAGCCAGCATGCTGCCTGCAGCCAAGCGGCTTGAACCAACATGGCTACGGACCCCATGTCTGGCGGTCTTGTGGACCGTGATCGGGCCCCTGAGGCGGGGCCTGGCAAAAACATGATTGACCCACGAACCTGGAAAGGAATGTAGAGATGTGAGGCATGGCAGCGTTTTCGAGACACCTGATTGGGCGGCGGGCAATTGCAATGCTGGATGTATCGATCTTGATGTGCCGTGCTGCACCGTGCTGAATTGCGGTGTGCCATGCAGCGATTGTGCTCTATAGCGCTGTGGATCGAGTCCTCCTGTGCATTCGAGTCCTGACCGAACTGATCTGGATCTTATGCTCGAGCTGCCTGAGCACATAGTAACTGCCCTAAGAGCTAGTTGAAATGGAAACGTGCGGGACGTTCAATCAACTCGACCTTAAAATCCGACTAGGCTCCGAAAAGGAACGACACGACACGGGGCACAGGCTCACGGACGCGCCACAAGACGTGCCAGGGGCGCAATAGGACATGCGCCAGGGGGCGTGTCAGGGGACGTATCAGGAGACGTTCCCTGGACGTGTCAGGGACCTGCCACCGGACGCGCCAAGGCGCGTGCCATGCGGTGGCCAGAGGACGTCATGCCAATTGCAAGAGGCGCGCCACGGAACGGGTAGAGGAAACGCCTGGGGACGAGCCAGGAAGCGCCACAGAGGACGAGCCAGGGAACGTGCCACGCCGAGTGGCGTGCCGGAGGACGTGCCAGGGCACGCCACGCCCTACCATCGCAAGGGACGCGCCAGGGGGACGCGCCAGCACGCCGGGAGCGCCCCACGGACGGGCGGGGCTGGACTGCGATGCGCTCTACTGCGACAAGCGTTTCGCTCGAGGCTCAAGACATCCCCAACATATCCTCATGTTAGAGATCCGCCAGTCATCCTGGGCACGTTCTCAACATCCTCATGCTAGACATCCACCTGGGCGACCTGGAAGCATGAAAACAAGTGTCTCGCTCGAGACATCCTCAACATACCATCATGCTAGACATCTGCCTGGGCAACCTGGACGAGTCAAATCAAGCGTCCCGCTCGAGACATCCCCAAGACCTGACCACGTCAAAACAATCACTTCACCTGAGATGTCCCCTAAATTCTGCCCCCCAGGAGAGAACACATTTATGACACAAAACAAGCGTTTCGCCCGAGACATCCTCAATCCATTCTGCAATGCCAACGTTTCGCTCGAGACAGCCGCAACAAACGAAACTCTGTACTTCACCATCTTATTGATCGATCGGAATAAAAAAAAACCAACGTTTCGCTAGGGAACACCTCAACTTTTTAATTCGCCGGCTCACATAATAAATTCGCTGGCCTCCTTCAAGTAGAGGCCGGAGGGTCAACCAAGTAAAGCAAAACCCTGGGCCACCGCAATTCTGGGAGAAATCCTGGGCCCGCGCCCTTTCCGGGAAAAACTGACAACAGTTTCAGAAATGGAGGGCGATTCGTTTTCAACATGTGGCTCTAGCCACACCTGGCCCTGAACCGACCCTGACCCCAATCAGGTCCCACGAGGCCCCCACCAGGTTGACACCCCCACCGTCCTGGGATCTCTGTTCTTGGGACCCCCCACCCGACAATTTCTGGCCCACAGCCGACCCTGATCCCCTTACCAGGTCCCCACCAGGTGGACACCTCCACAGTCCTGGGACCTCTGTTCATCGGACCCCCCACCAGATATTTCCTGGCCCAGGACTGGCCCTGGTGATGCGCTCTCGAGTTGGCGACGACGCGTGGTGACGATGCTGCGCCGCGATGCGATCCCACCATCGGTCCCACTCGATCGATCTCACCACGGGACACCAGTGGGACATCGACATGACACCGACGGGATACAAGAGGGACGCCGACGGGACACCAACGGGACAGCGACGGGACAGCGACGGGACAGCGAAGGGACAGCGACGAGACAGCAACGGGACACCACAGCGGGACAACCAAGCCGCCGCCCGCCCATCGCGGGCGGGGGAGGCGGACAACGACGGGACACCACGGCGGCACAACCTGGCCACCGCACGCCCACTGGGCGTGCCGGAGGAGCGGTCAATGGCTCTTGACCCGCCCTAGCCATAGCGGAATCAGTCCTCTCGCTCTCCCACGCGGCTTCGCCTCGCCCGCACGCACGACGCAACCGAAACCGGTTTCACGGTGGGGGGCTCTCCGTTCCACTTCGATCCCCCCCCACCCTCCAGCAGAAAAAGAGAGAGAGTGAGAGAAAGAGAGGAGCACATAATAACTAGACTGGGCCACAACGTATATTCAAACTGGACTAGGAGGGGAGGAAGACCGATCGAGGCACCCGCGACAAAATCTGAAATCCGCAGATTGGGACTTTCTGTGGTGCCGTGTTTCTCAGAATCGTATGCGCGCGTTGCACAAATACGGGGTATCATTCAAAAAGCGAAGAGTAAAAACGCACTCTTCACAATCCAATAGATGGGTAGCGACCGGCCGGCGAGCCGTCCTGTCGCGGGCGGGCTCTACCGCGCCGCGCGGTGCTGGGACTCCTCGGCTCAGTAGCCGAGTGCGACGGAGCCCTGTTGAAGCTGACCGTATGCATATGCTTCCATGGACAGAAGCTTCTGGCACGTTTCCCCAGGGGCCGCCGCCTCCGCGTGGTCATCCTCTCCTAGCAGCCCTCCGACAGGAAAGCCAGCACGCTGAAGGTTCTTGACGTAGACTTTCAAATGAAACTGCCCCTTGTCGGTGTGCCCGTTGCCGACTTTGAGCTCCACCGGTCCGAATTTCAGCCACCTCGGCTTTTCCGCGCGATCGCCGCGAGCGTCGAAGTGGAAGCCTCCAGGCTGCGCCTTGTGCGCCCATGTCCCTGTGACGTTGATCTCCTTGAAGTACGTGTCTGAGCAATGTGCCCCCAATCGACGTGCATCGGCCTCTACAACAAGCAGCGCGTCCTCGACGGGCATTCCGCGTGGAACGCTGACCAAGACAGAGATGCCTGGCCTCGCCAAGTCGAACCGCTGACCGAACATGCTCTGCAGGTGTGGGTCGCCTGTGGCGGACGACGCCGTCGAAGAAGTCGTTACCAGCCTGGAACATATCCCTATCCCTATGCTGGGCACGTCCTCATCACGATGCCAATCTTTTTTTTGGGGGGGGGGGGACAGGCTGCAGTACCACGTGGGGACATCTCTGGCGAAATGCCAGAACATGCCTGATGGTCGGTTGCAAACCACATTGGGCGCGCACGCACCTAGGAACATGACCAATGATAATACGCGACCGACCGTTCAGCTTGCGCGGGGGAAAGACTATTGGTCGCGGCTACACGTGCCCAGGGGGACAACAACAAAGACAGTCGGCATGCCCTCCTCTGCAACGTTCGACAATTTCGCGGCATCATGGGCGGCTGCGCCGTCGCCGTGCACGCCACAAAATGGAGCGAGGCGCCAGGAACGCACGGCGGCCTCGCAGCAAGGTACTCGCAGCAGAATTCCTCTGAATTCCACTCTCCGAGCCAAAGCCCCCCTCTCTTAGGGATTCCCTTATTTTCCCTTATTTTTGAGGGCGAATCCCTAAGATTGTAATCGCCTTTTGGCGTGTTAATCTTAGGGATAGGGATACGTTCGAGGCTGGTAAAGTCGGGGATGGCGTGAGCGGGGGCGTCGGGCTCGGCGTCGGCGCTATAGTCGGGGATGGCGTGGGCGGGGGCGTCGGGCTCGGCGTCGGCGCCGCAATCGCCAGACCCTGTATATTGGATGAGTGGCCGTCGTCTCAGCCAGGACAGGACAGGAAAAGGCCGCGCCTAGACGGCGCATCGGCAGAACATGACAGCTTGCACAAACCATGGAAAAGTCATGCGAAGACAAGTCCGCGCTGAATGCGCCCGCGCCGGAGCGCAGCCACTGCGTGCTACAGTGGTGGGCGGCGGAAGGACACACACCGGCACGGCGGCATGCAGGAGGAAGGGGGGAGGGGAAGGAGGAGGGGGGGGAGGGGGGAAGGAGAGGAAGGAGGGGGGGGGGGGGGAGGGGAAGGAGGAGGAGGAGGAGGGGGGGGGGGGGGGGGAGGGGAGAGGAGGGAGGGGGGGGGGGGGGAGGGGGGAGGGGGGAAGGAGCATCTCAGTGCAAGCATCCAATGCTGGCCAACAAGATCTGTCGCCCTCGGCGACGGCGCCCACGATCGCGACGCGCCGCGGCTCGGCCAGGCGTGACGCCCACGGCACACGCCAGATGCCACCAGGCCCTGGAAGTGGTTCTCGCCAGCGCAGAATCGGCCATGTGTAGACACACTCCATGCGTCGCCAGTTGTCGACATCTGCATCAGCTCGAGGTCAACTGCAGACGCCAGGCTGGACACGCCGCTGGCCCCGACCAGGCTGGCGATCATAACGACATGTGCCATCTGTGAGACAACTGGAACAAACAACCGTTGTAGATATGAGTGTACAATCTGCGCGGATGAGGTTCAGAATGCTGAAAACAAGCCTGACATAACCTTGAGCCAAGATCGCTTCGGAAGCATTTTGGGTTTTTCGGGGGCCGTCTTTGGGGCCGTTTCGAAGCATCCGTCACCGTCTTCGGGGCGTCTTTGAGCCCGCGTGGACTCCCCTAGTGCTATTTTGGCGTGTCCAGGCTCATTTGGGGAGCCGTCTTGGGGCCTCTTGGGCCAGCATGGGCGCCTCATGAGCCGTCTTGGCGCCCTCTTGGGGTGGCCTCTTGGGCCGTCTCGGGGCGTAGGGAAGCGGAGCAGGCAACAACAGGAGAATATTTGAAATACCTGCTGTAAACCACATAGTGCTGGTTATTGGGAATCTCTCGGGAAACACTTTGGAGCCCTCTTGGGGTGTCTTGGAGGCCTCGTGGGCCGTCTTGAAGCAATGGTGGGCGTGCTGGGGGCGTTTTGGGGCCCTCTGGGCACCCTTTAGGCCCTTTTGGCGGGTCGAGGTTCGTTTGGGAGGTCTGGGGCAGGGCGCCCTCGGAGCCATCCAAGACCCCCTGACACCCCCATGACACAATTTAGCACCGATCCAAATCATCTGGGGGCCTCTAAAGCCTGTGGGGACCTGCTGGCGGTCTCAGGGATACTCTTGG